CTGAGAACAGCCTGCATGGTTATCCATTAAGTTTAGTCATGGCAGGAATTTGCCTTTAAAAAAATTCACTTGGAAGTTTCCATTGGAGATGCACTCAGTATAGCTAAACATTGAAATTTATGTTTGTTGAACTTTGTCTCTGCAAAGGACATTATAAATAGTAATGTTTCTCTTGTGATATGAAACCGTACCCAGCAAGGTTTTGAAGTAATAAAATATAAGGAAAAACAACTTGATAACAGTAACTATTGATCGCTATTGTTCTGAATATACCTATAAGTCAACTTGTATCCTCTTACACTTGATCAAACTCTGTTGATTTATAACAAAGACACATCCTGTTTCTTAGCACAAATGTGTAAAAGAAAGAAAGTATAATGAGAGATTAAGAGTTTGGGATACTCATTTTTATTTCATAAACATACAGGGTATTTGTGTTTGAGTCAGAAGCAAAAAGTTTATCCTATTCATCTTCTATTAGAAAGATCAACACAAACATGGTGATTAAGCAGTATGGAGGTTCCTCAAAAGACTCCACACAGAACTCCCCTATGACCCAGCAATCCCACTTTTGGGCATTTACCCAAATGTTTACAAACAAGACCACACTAAAGCTACCAGCACAACTATGTTTATTGCAGCATTATTTACCATAGCTAAGATCTGGAACCAACCCAGATGCCCCTCAGTAGATGAATGGATCAAGAAAATGTGGTATATATACATAATGGAATTCTATGCCTCCATCAGAAAGAATGACATTGCCCCATTTGTTAGGAAATGGAAAGACTTGGAAAAAATTATATTAAGCGAAGTAAGCCAGGCCCAAAGAAACATAGGCCCCATGGTTTCCCTTATTTGCAATATCTAGTATATGTATGAGTCAAGTGGAAAAGGTCAGATAATGTGATGTTAGGAAAATGAACCCTTAGATATGTATTTTAATGTTTTTTTCTTTCATGCATGTGTTTCTAACGAATTTATAAGATTATCTCTTTGTTGCTTTGTATGTCCCTCCCCCACAGTATAACCCCTGCTTTCACTGTATTTGATGTCAGTATAACTTGTGGAGGAGATGGGGAAAAACAAGTCGCTTAAGGATACAGGTGGACCTGTTGCAACAATGAGAAGTACAAGTTGTCATGTCGAAAACGAGCTTTACAATGTTGGTGCGGGGGGGTGGGGTGGTGGGAAGGATTGGGACTGGGGGGGCAGGGGGAGGCTGGGAAGGGATGTGAAGGATAAACAAAGGAGGAGGCTGCAATGCTTGGTAAGAAATGTATGCATTATCCTGCCCATGTAATTGTAACCCCTCTGTACAGTATGTTCACAAATAAAATAAAATAAAATAAAATAAAACATGGTGACTGTTTGGGTAAAGGTTCCCAAAACTTCACTGTCTCACAAGTCTCACTCAGGAGGGGTGGGTAGCTACAAGGAAGAGAGCCAGGTCCAGGAAAATATTTGACACATCTCTCACATTACCTAGCACATTTTTCTTTCATGAACAGCTACAAACTGTCTCGGAGACACTCATAGGAGAACTTATTCACTGTCCTGAACAAACTGCTGTGAGCTTAAATACGTGATTCTCTAAGTTCATTTCCCCACCATTAGCAGCAGCAACTGGTAACTTGTAGGAGAAACACATGCTTAGGACCCACTGCAGACCTACTAAATTAGAAATTCTGGAGGTGAGACTCAGCATTCTGTGTTTTGACAACCTATCTGGCAATTCCAATGGAAGCCAAAATTTGAGACCCACTGTTCTTTTTTTTTTTTGGTCGGTTGTGGGGCTTGGACTCTGGGCTTGGGTACTGTCCCTGCGCTCCTCAGCTCAAGGCAATTGCTCTACCACTTGAGCCAGAGCCACTTACGATTTTCTGGTGGTTAGTTAGAAAGAAGGGTATCATAGACTTTCCTGCCCAGGCTGGCTTTGAACTGTGATCTTCAGATCTCAGCCTCCTGAGTAGTTAGGATTACAGATGTGAGCCACCAGTGCCCCACTGTTCTTTTTAACTGATGATCACAACCCAAACTTCCAGTCTCTCTCGCGCCACTATTTTATAACTCTTCTGTCCACACACTTTGTTGAAAAGAATAGTTTTTGTTGTTAGTGGTGTTGTTTTGTCCATCATGGGGCCTGAACTCTGGGCCTGGGGGCTGTCCCTCAGCTCTTCAGCTCAAGGCTAGCACTCTACCACTTGAGCCACAGCGCCACTTCCGGCTCTTTTCTTTTTTGCTTATGTGGTGCTGAGGAATCAAACCCAGGGCTTCATGCATGCAAGGCAAGCACTCTACCACTGAGCCACCTGAGTTTTTTGTAGCACACTCTGCTTCCAAATTCCTTGACCATTTAAAGAGTCTGACTGGGGTTGGAGGTGTGGCTCAGGTGGTAAAGCTCCTGCCATCAGATATCAAGTTTAAGTCCTGGTCTCAGACCAAAAAAATAAAAAATAAAAAAAATTAACAGTACTAACAATTAAGCTGAATCGGGAAATTCAATTTCAGAAAATTGGTGATTTATGCACTCAATGTCCAATAATTCTTTTAAGATAAAAGCAAAATTAGGATTGTGTATCAATCGCTTAATCTGTAACCAAGTAGTTGGTTTTGAGAATCTTGGGCAATAATATTGACCAATTATGGTCGTAAAAGCAAAGAAACATTTTATTTATATTGTATAGGCCAATGTCCTGCACCTTTAGTTACAAATAACTCACTAGACAAAAAGGTAGATATAAAAGCAAGTGCATTTAAATTATCTATTGTGACTTGCTTGGAAATCTCTTGTACTTGGGTAAATAAAATGTGCTAAAACCAATCCAACAACCTAAGTTTACAACGCCAAATGAGCAAATGCAGATCATTGTCAAGAACTGAGTATTTTTTAAGCCATTTTCACTGATTTTTAACCTTTCAGAAGCTAGAATCTCTTTCATCTCTGCTCTACAATAAAGCAATTGTGAGACTTAGATGAAATCCTTTCTTCCTCAGGACTTGAATTTCTATCTCTATAAAATGAGAACAATTGATTTCATCATCTCTAAAATGACTCATCTCTGATAATCTGTGATTCTGGAATTCTAGGGATCTACAAATCCCTACTGCTCTAGCACCCCTCCAATATTACTACTCTTCTGACCACTCCTGACTAGAAAAAGGACCAAGAAGGCAAAGGACATCTAATAGCTGCAATTGAAGTCATTTAAGAAATTGCATGCTGGTGTTGGTTTACTACAGAACAGCACTGTGTAGAGATCAACTGTGGTGTGAGTTGGGAGATTCTCTTTGTTAAATGACACACAGAAATCCTGGAGAGATTTCATTGTTAGTTGAGTGAGAAAAAGATGTTAATTGCAGGGAATCCCTTTTGTTATTTTAAATTATTTTTGGTAGGCATTACCTTAAGGATTCAGCCCAGTGTATGAAATTTCATAGCTTAGGGATTGGAATTATGCAAGTACTTCCCCTCTCTATTCCTACCAAAAGCACACATTTAGCTGAGTAATTCAAGCAGTGAAAATAATTTCAAAAAACACGGAGAATAGGTGTGGTGTAATTAATTATGCAATTGATATAATTCAATCCACTTCATACCATCTATAGAGTTCATCACATGTATTCCATCAGTATTAAGAGCACCCTTTGTTGGTACTCCCATTCCTCCACTAGCCAAATATTATGCCATTTTAAGTAAATATCAATGGAAGAAATGAATAAAAATATTTTATTCCCATCCAGGCACTGGTTGCTCACATAATCATAATCCTATTTACACAAGACTACATTGTCATTTTGAATTTGATAATTTCAGAGATTATTTAGCTGCCTTCAAACTGCTGACCAGCAGTTTGACCACCCCATTCCCTGTCTCCCTCTCCCTCTCTCTCCCCCTCTCTCTCCCTCTCTCTCTCTCTCTCTCTCTCACACACACACACACACACACACACACACACATACATACATACATACATACATACACAAATATACTTTGTATTAAGATGGGCTTTTCTTGTTACTAGGGGAAATTTTTAAATGTTTACTTCCTTAAATATAAAGATCACATGTATAACCTTCATCTCTGGTGTAATCTATGGTAGGTTTTCATCTGAAAATCATGATTTTCATTCTTACAAGCCTCAAGAGATGTTGTCTATGTCATTTTGTCTTAAAGTAAGGCAGGTTTATTTTAACCATTTTTAGACAAAGAACCCCCAGAGAGTCTTTTATTTAAAAAAAAATTGAGGGAAGTGGCACTGTAGCTCAAGTGGTAGAGCACTCACCTTGAATTGAAGAGCTCGGGGACAGCACCCAGGTCCAAAGTTCAAGCCCCATGACCAAAAAAAAAATGATTGTACTAATCAGTCAAATGAAAAAATTCTTTCTATTAGGATATTTAAAGACAAAAGGATAGTAGTTTGGGCAGAAATTTTTTTTATTTCTTAAAGGTCCTTTTAATATAGTACAGCCCAGCCCCAAGAGAATACAGAGTTGGGATATACCATATGTAGCTTGGGTATCTTGAATTATTGCTTCTTGGAAATGACATGAACTCTGTCAAAGTGTGAATGATCTGTTACTTCAGCACCTCATCAATATTAAGTATTGGGGAGTAGGTTCAATTTTGTGCTTTGGGGGATACCTACATGCATTCATCATGTAAAGGAATGTGCATTAGCCTACCCAGTGATGGCAGAAGGGCAAATGGGGGAATTTTTAAGAGGAAATCATTGAGATTTTATATAGACCATGCTGGGTAGGTATGAAGCCAGGGTGCTTCTAATAAAAAAAATAGATCTAATTAATAAATTTAATTATTCAAAGTATGCACCATCAGGATGGAACAAGCAATGGCAGAGCATTTTCTCAGCCCCCTACCCTCCTCATATATCATAGGATCATCAGCGAGACCCTCCCTCCACCTCCCCCCCCTTCCAGTGCCAGATTGGTAAGTATTGAGCCAAGAATGATAGAAGACACAAAACAACTGAAGGAAAGGAGTAGCCACATGTCTTGGATTTTCTTTCCATTCTGCTGTGCTGTGTTCTCCTGACACCACCTCGTCACTAGACGTAAGCACTAGACGTGACAATCAACTCCATTTAAACTGAGCAGGAGAAGCTCTGAAGACACAGTCTCCAGGAGAAATGTCTCAAAGGCAGCCTCAGTCACCTAATCAGACTTTAATTCTAATTACAAATGACACAGAATCATCAAGCTCTGTTGTTTCCAACGATACCACAAATAAAGGACGGACCGGAGACAACTCTCCAGGAATAGAAGCACTATGTGCCATCTATATCACTTATGCTGTGATCATTTCGGTGGGCATCCTTGGAAATGCTATTCTCATCAAAGTCTTTTTCAAGACTAAATCCATGCAAACAGTTCCAAATATTTTCATCACCAGCCTGGCATTTGGAGATCTTTTACTTCTGCTGACTTGTGTGCCGGTAGATGCAACCCACTACCTCTCCGAAGGATGGCTGTTCGGAAAAATCGGTTGTAAGGTGCTCTCTTTCATCCGGCTCACTTCTGTTGGTGTGTCGGTGTTCACATTAACGATTCTCAGTGCTGACAGGTGAGTGGCTTTTCTCTTGTTATATTTGTCAGGATAGGAAATTTATAGGCAAAACAGGAAAGGAAAGCTTGTAGTTAGCCTTTACTGACTACTCGGCTGCTTTTCTCACACTCTGAAAACTGAATGTAAGATAGAAAAAGCTGGTGGCATTTTAAATAAAAGTTGGCATCAAATGATAAAAATTTCTGTGTTAGAATTTGGGGAGTGTTTGAAACTATATGCTGGGGGGGAGGATTTATTTTCATTGAAGTATAATTGTTTGCTTGAAAGAATACGGAACAATGTTTTTATTTTCCTCCAGCTTATTAAATAAGGCAGATTGCTGCAGGTGTAAAGGGGGGAAAACACCTCTATGCTTTATACATTAGTGCAGCCTAGTGGTACAATATAGTCAATATGAAAGCATCGGCGTAGATGTGAAATCAGCCCTATAGACACATTGCCGTATATTGGAAGGCAAGTAAAAACAGAGTCTGCCACTAATTTATTTGGCATCACTAAGTTAACAGGGGGAAAAAAGATAATGTTTTCAGCTCCGTGGCAACACTGTAAGGGCACCACTTAATTCTATTTGTTTTCTCTATAGGCATTCAGGGACACTGTGGTTTCCAGAGAAATAAATTAATCCTGATTGACTTTTAGAGTTCTATGGATCGAATGTGTGAAAACCTCTCACTGCCAGCGTGTTTGGACCCTGCTAGGATGTTTTTAGTCTAAGTACTCTATAAGGGTGTGTGTGTGTGTGTGTGTGTGTGTGTGTGTGTGTGTGTTGTGCGTGCGCGCGCGTGCTCACATGTGTGTGTGTAACTATTGTACAATGAAAATTGTGAAAGAATGAAAAAATTGAAGCTCTAAACGTTTTTGTTTTTGTTTTTCAAAAAAGGTGATCTTTAAAAACCCTGCTGTAAATAATCAATGCCTGGCAGTACCAGAAGGACTTGCTTCCTCGGGGTCCGCAATCTGACAAGAAGTAACAGCTTTCCTTGTGTCTTTTTCAGGTTTTTGCTTTGACTGGTTATCTATCTTATTGGAGGACAGATTCGCATTAAATGTTACAGGTTTTTAAAGTGGATTTATCCAAATAAGGAGTCATCTTTGTACAGGACTTCCAATTTCACCCTTGGCTTGCCCTAAATCTCCCCCACTGATTGTTGGATCAGTTCGGGCAACAAAGTAGCACTTATGAATGGGGATGAAATTAACCCTCTGCTCTTTACTGCCTTAAATCCCTGGAATTCTTTTCTAGGCAGGTTGAAGACTGCTCTCTTATGAAGAAAGGAGAATTAATTCGGTTTAACATGAGTCACTTATAGAAAAATAAAGTTGTTTAGAACATTTAAGGTAATATACAGGTGGTGAATTACTCTCCATCACACATACAATCATGCTGAAAATATTTGCCTGAAATAGAGGGTCAGAACACAAAAATTATAGAATTGCAAACCTGGAATATCTTATGGGAGTGAATGAGGGAAAAGCCAATTCACATATATGAAAACCCTGAGGTATATTATGTGATTTTTGAAACCACAACCTGTTTGGGTTAGTTAATGTTTACTGATAATACATGGATAGATAAGAGGTAGAACTGATGCCTATTATGGTCACTTCTAACTCTAAGATTCTATTATGTTGATATTGATTTTAACCTTTTCCTCTGTTTATGTATTTCTAGATACAAAGCAGTCGTGAGGCCACTTGAGCGACAGCCCCCTAATGCGCTCCTGAAGACGTGTGCAAAAGCTGGCTGCATCTGGATCGTGTCTATGATATTTGCTCTACCGGAGGCTATTTTTTCAAATGTATACACTTTCCGAGATCCCAACAAAAATAAGACATTTGAATCGTGTGCCTCTTACCCTGTCTCTGAGAGGCTTCTGCAGGAAATACATTCTCTACTGTCTTTCTTAGTGTTCTACATTATTCCACTCTCGATTATCTCTGTTTATTATTCTTTGATTGCTAGGACTCTTTACAAAAGCACCTTGAACATACCTACTGAGGAACAAAGTCATGCCCGCAAGCAGGTATGTATGGATGGGCACTCGTGCAAGTACAGTTTGAATTGACAAGTGCAATTCTAAAAGCGCACTCTGAACTTTTGCAGAGTGAGCAAGTGTGCATTTACCTTGTGCATAAATATAATAGCAGTGCACTGTTCTTTTTATGAACAAAAACCCTTGTTTATAAGAAAAACAGTTACACAGTAATAATTGGCTATCACACACTAACTGAACAATCTTGAGCAAGTTACTGGGTCTCTCTAAGCCTCAATGTCCTTATTTTTGAAATATAGAGTACAAATAGCTGACCTAGGAGAGTAGTCACTCATTTACTCCCTAGAATAGTAACACGTTGGTGAGACAATAAAAACAAAGCATCTTCTGTTTTACAAAGTGCAACAGAATAACAGAGACACATACAGAATAGTAGAAGTGGGAGGACTCATCACATTATTCAATGCAAATAACTTACACCCGTACATGAGCAAAACTGAGTTCTGAGGACCTTGCCACAAATGAGAGAACACAGTGACTCACACACTCTTGATTAAAACTCTTGCAAGAGCCAGGTGAGGTCTTCTCTCCTAAATGGGGACAGAGTAAAAGATGTGTTGTCAAAACATAGTTTCATTTGATTAAGGGGAAAAAAAACTGTTTCTATCTTACAGGAGGGAAGGGAGGAGTTGAGTCTATTCACTTCCTGATCACGGGGCTAGTTAATTTCATATGGGTGCTCATGAGGCTGAAGCTGCGTGTTGGATGCCTGTGTGAACCCGTTATCTGTGACCACAGGCTATGTTTTTACTTAACCTGTTGCATCTCTCCTAATAGGAGTATTCTCATATATGAAAGATGGCACAAGATTTTTATTCCACTATAGAATTTCTATAGTTTAAAAGGTTTTTGACCCCAACAGGAAAACTTTCATAAGTCCCAGCAGACTTTTAGCCTACTTAGCTTCCACTGGAGCAATGAAAACAGTTTTACATTATGTCTCCATTTTTAATTAAACCCAATCACAGGGAAATTCACAGCATAAGTTAAATTGAACTGGCTGGCAGCATCCTAGAGTTTCTTAAAATCAGGCAGTGGGGGAGTCTATGAATTAGTTAATGGGATCAATATCATTGGTTAACATACCAATTAACTTGCTGTGTCCCCACTGGTTGACTTCCTGTGTGCCCCAGCTAGTCAGCTCACGGAGACATATTCCAGATTGATAATCGTATATATCTATATACACCTGGAAGATGGCTTTTCTTTCCCTCAGTTAGTGACTTTTTTCGTATGTGTGTGTGTGTGTGTGTGTCTTTTTTTCTCTCCTTCTCTAGATTGAATCCCGGAAGAGGATTGCCAAAACAGTTCTGGTGCTGGTGGCTCTGTTTGCTCTCTGCTGGTTGCCAAATCACCTCCTGTATCTCTACCACTCGTTCACTTACCAAAGCTACGCAGACCCCTCTGCCATTCATTTTCTTGTTACCATTTTCGCTCGGGTGCTGGCTTTCAGCAATTCTTGTGTAAATCCCTTTGCTCTCTACTGGTTGAGCAAAACCTTTCAGAAGCATTTTAAAGCTCAGCTATTCTGCTGTAAAGCAGAGCTGCCTGAGCCCCCTCTTGCTGACACCCCTCTGAACAACCTGGCTGTGATGGGAAGGGTCCCCTGCACTGGGACTGCACACGTTTCTGAAATTAGTGTGACCTTATATGCTGGCTGTAGTGTGAAGAAGGAAGAAGATAGAGTCTAGCTTTTGTAAGGGGAAAAATGATGCTTTACCTCCCAGCATGTGTACCCAAGTCTATACTGGGTATCAGTATGTGGTGTATGCATTTTTGTTGGTTGTGAATTGTGTTGAAATCTTCAGAGTGAAGAATCTCTCTAAGTAAAAGACAAACCGTGATTTTCTTCGAAGTACAAATCATAATGTTATTGGGCTCTCTAAATAAAAGGATACCCAGGAACTATAGAAAGGCAAATTTGTATATGCCAGTGAATTATTAGGGAGGTTGAATAAGAGAAATACAACAAGATGAAACTTTAAAATCCAACTTGTTTTCATTATATCGCTGATGCTTCTAATTTCTCATGTATTCATGTGGTTATCATAAAATTGTGTTTGTGTTTACTATGTGGTGTAAATCTATGGATTCAACTTTGCACATGAAAGGGAGATCAAAAAGAGATAAAATGCTTTTTCTGCAGTTTCCTTTAAAAATATATCTTCACAAAATGATGGCACTTTTCTATTAATCACGACTCCACTATGACTAGATCTGTGCAATCGAAATGAGAATGTTTGGGGGCCAGCACGTTTAAAAGTACTGAGACAAGATCTGGGACAAGGTGCTTGCTCTCTGGGGTTGACACTTGCTGGCTTCATATAGTTCTACTCACAACTGCCATTCATTAGTAATTAGGCAACCATATCTTTCACAAATGCTGTAAAGAACACGCCTTATTCACGGGCAGACTAAGTGGCCACATTTGCAGTGTCACTAGAGGCCCCAGAGGATGACTTTCATCCAAAAGCCTGCAAACCTGCCAGTGTCGGAAAATACTCCTTTAAGACACTTCATTTCTTTTGGGTGAGCAGTGCCCTCTTTCTAAAAACTGGCAGAAGTACCACATGAATCTCATAACACCTGGTTGTGCAATCATCATCAGTTCATCTTCCTGCTTGACTAATATCCAACTTGATGGGTGCCTAAAACTTGTAGGAGTGTGATCTAATTAGTCTACATCCTTGGAAATCAGATAGAAGGCTCTGATTTCCTGTCCTCTGCATCTATATGCTAACAAAATAAGCTTGTTAGTAACTGTCATCTTTAAAACGTTGTCAATAGATTTGTCAGATTTAGATTTGTGGTTTCAGAAAATGTATTCTTAGAGCAAATTAAAGCTTATATTTGGCATTAGAGTTAAATTTGTATTTTTTAAAAACTTGAGTTTTGGGGTGTGATTTTTTGGTAGATCTGAGCTTTGTTTAAATGGCTTGTGTAATTGTGAGCTTTTGCTACTAATGATGTGGCTCAAAATGTAGTAGGAACACTAGAGTTTAAATTTCTGTAAATCTGGTATACTTAAAGCAGGGGTGCTGATAATGTGTTAATATTGTTTTAATGTGGGCAATGTAAAGTGGAGAGCAAATAAATATGAAATAAAAGTTTCCATGGCTTTGTGTAATTTTATATCTTATAATATTTCTGAAGAATATAAGAACCCATTGTAGTTCAAAGATTTGTGATTTTTAAGTCACAAAATTCCAAATTATTTTTCTGTTTTCTCATTCTGAGTAAAATGGCATCAGTACTTTCCTAAGCATAGCTTAGAATTAACCTGATGAAAGTATTTCCCTAAACAGTTTTATAAGGATTCAGCATCCACCCAGGCCTCGCTAGAAAATTAGGATTAAAATTGGGCTTTCAGTTTTGGAAAAGATTGGTCTCTCTTAACAGATTATCATCGTCATGGCTAACTTTACAAGTAGAGTTCAAAATGCACAGTTTCATTCACATTGTTTACTGTGGTACTGGAAGTGTTCTTATGGGGAGGGGGATCCATTTGTTTTGGAAAGTCCTACACAGAGGAAGAGGTAGACAAATTGAGAATAAATCTTGCATAGCTTGCAATTTTTTCAGGGTCTTCTCTTGCCCAAGTTTTAGGATATGGACCATAATAATACATTGTGAATTATGAAAACACAATCATCAAGTTTGATATACCAAAAAAAAAAACAAGTAGAGCAGGCAAGTCTTCATCGAAGTTGAAAGTGCTAAGGTATAACACTTGCGTCCTAGATTTGGTTTTAAAGCATTTCTGAAATTTAAACTTTAGGTCATGCATCCATCAATCTTTTTCTTGGAAGGAGTTCCTTTTATTTCTAGAAAGTCTTAAGATTGCAGGATATGCAGACAAGATTGAGTGGGCTTCAAAAGACCATTAAAAATCTAGTTTTGTATATCTTTTCAAATTTTCAGAAAGTGTTCCTTAGCAAGATAGGTGATATCTGCTTTTACAAGTGAATACACTTGTATTCATCAAGAAGTCATGGCCAGAAGGATCAAGGCAGTGAGGGTGAGGGATTGAGAGAGAGAGAGAGAGAGAGAGAGAGAGAGAGAGACTGAATGAGTCTAATCAAGGTACACTGCATGAATATATGACATGTCACAATGAACTCCCCACTTATATAACTAATTGATACTAATAAAAAGTTGAGGGGGAGAGCCAGGAAAAAGTGAAGACCTGGCCCGGAATAAAACACAGATTACCCCTTACCAAGGTCAGAAGGTTGAGAGAGAAAGTGGAACTATTAGATAATCAAAGAAAAGGCTGTTGTTTGGGTCTCAACTGGCTCCTCTCCCTAGAGTCACCATGTCTCATGTACCACACCTTCATTATAGTCCTGGAGTATTAGGAACCATCCCCTATCTTTACAATCTCTCCCTTTCGCTTGTTACCATGAGTGTTTATTTAACTTGTAAAATATCTTTGAAAAGGCAGGTTACAAAGCAGTGAGGCTTCCAGATTACCTTAATTACTAGAGAGTTATTCTATAAATACACAGGAAAATAAACACAAATAAGAACCAGGCCTCACAGAACAGGACATTGTTAAAACACAACTGTCAGGCATCATGACCAAAGACAATGGTGTGACAGGTACAAGTGTAGTTTCTAATTCCCCTGCTCCACTGTTAAAAATGACTCAGTGAGCCTTGGGTGCTCCTTTTACACTTGGGAAACTTCCCAGGTGGTTTTGATATGACTTTTACTTGACTTAATGGGTCTTTCTGCTTTCGTTCTAAACATGCCTGTTTGTTTCATACTCATGCTTTTAGGAGAGACTTTTCTGGGCTTATTTAGTCAAACAGAGTGTAAAAACCATGTGCCTCACCAGGTCACCTCCATAAGTTTCCAGGCAGCCTTTGGGCCAGCGTAGTTAGGTGACATGAAACTTTGGTATAAGAAAACTTTTTGGTCACTTTTTTGCAGTTGTCATGTGAGTACTGCAAGCACTTAGCTTATCTTGTGCAGTAGGGTGGCATAGCATATTACCCACCTAGCCTGTGAAGTTATCCAGGGATGAAATCAGAATTTAAGAGCATATTGCTGAAAACAGATGGATTCTATTTTTAGACCTATGAAGAAATACCGCAGGTTTAAACTAGCCTAATAAAAGTTATAAAGCACATGTAAATTCAGGTATCCAATAGTTCCTACTGGAAGAAAAAGTCTAGGAAAAAAATGTAATTGAAGACCAAAACTATTTTTTTTCTGGTCGATGGTGGGTCTTGAACTCTGGGCCTGGGCACTATCTCTTAACTCTTCAGCTCATGGCAAGTGGTGTACTACTTGAGCCACAGTGCCATTTCCGGCTTTTTGGTGGTTAATTGGAAATAAGAGTCTCACAGATTTTCCTGCCTGGATTGGGTTTGAACCACCATCCTCAGATCTCAGCCTCCTGAGTAGCTAGGATTAAAGGCGTGAGCCACCAGTGTCAGGCAAAAAGTATTTTTTTTTAAGTTTTGGTTGAAACTAGATTCCTATAGTGAGTAATTAGGCAGCCAATATTTATTTTGTACAACTTGGACCCAAGTATTATGCTTACAAGCAAAGGCCACTGGAATAACAGTCTAGTCTGGGAAGCTATTCCCACTGAGAAATTAAAATATTGAGATTTGCATATTAATTCATTTTTATTTTTTATAATTTTTTAAAAGTACAAGTTTTAATAATGCAGCAATAAATATTAACAAATATAATTCACATATGAAAAAAGTCTTTGGGTCTTCAATAGCTGTTGAACATAAGGAGATGCAAAGACCAAAATGGTTGAGTCAAGTTTCTTCAGCATCGTATACTTGTATCCTTTGCCAAGCATCCTAAGCTTTCTTGTGCTGTGCCTGTTGTGGCCAGAACCTTCTACAGTGCCTGGCACGTAGGAACTCAATAAATATTTTCTCCATTTAAAAATACAGACCTCTTTAATTGCAATAATGTGTGTGATTGCGGTGGTGGGGCTGTTTTGTTTAGCTCAGTATATGCAGCGTTTCCAAAAGAAAGGTAGAAATGGACTCAGTGGGACAATTAAGCTAGTGTTTACACGCTGGGATGTTTACAGTGCAGCCCTCTCCCACAATCCTGCAGCCTAAGTGCTGGCATGTGTGGCCCCTCCTTCCTTCCCGCAAGAGAAATGTAGTATGAGGAAGGTACCAGATTTTTTTTAAGGGGGTGAGACTAGGAAAAGTTGAACTTCCTACACATCATTCACTCATTCATTGACATCCCACTAGACATTACACTGCGTGCCGAGTGTTTGCAGGACGAAAACGATCAAGAGTTGAACCCTATCTTGAGGCAGTATTTTACGAATAGGCAAAGGACATGGTTCCAACACAGGGGAGGGGCACTGGGGCGAAGGAGGCGTCTCGTTTTTCCGGAGCTGGAGAAACTTGTCCAGTCCGCCCCACCCACTTCGTCAAGATGGCGGCCGCCGCAACACCCGCCCTACGCCTGCTGCATGGGAAGGTTCCCACGCCCTCATTCGAACTACCGCTGAGGCTAAATCCAGCCCGACCCGCCTGGAATGCCGCCGAGCACAAGGTCCCTAGGTGGTGTGGGTCCCCGTGGGCCTTGCCCCGCCCCCAGGCGGACTTGGGTGAGTGTGGACACGCGGCGGCAGTGCGCCCCCTGGCGCCCCGCCTCTAACACTGTCTCCGTCGGCGCCTTTTGACGCCACAGTGGGCGTGTCGACGTAACCTAGACGTCGCTACGCGCCGAAAATAGCGACTGCGTCAGCCTGAGCTTCAT